AATTTATGAGGGTGTCAAACCCCTGAGGGGAGAGGGTACGTCCGCAATCCCCCCCTTCATAAATCCGCCCCTGCACAATTTTCCGTAGTCATTTTCGGTTTATTTGTACAAAAAATTCAGCCTAGACTATGTCATAGACAAAAAAAACACAACCTACAAAAAAGCAAAACATTTAAAAAAAATAAAAAGCGCAGTTAACGAGATCCTCATAAACTACAATGTTTTTTTTTGTTTTGCTTTTTTTGTTATTTGTGTTTTTTTTTTGTCTATGACATAGTCTAGGCTGAATTTTTTGTACAAATAAAACGAAAGCGACAACATAGTTCTGTGCAGGGGCGGATTTAGAGGGGGGAGCAATCTTGAATTTTTGAAGGTTGTTCAACCGGTATTTACTGTTGTTAACTCTAAACCTGCTACTAATGCTCAAAAACGCATTTTTATTTTGCGACCACACAAAATTACCTTCTCAAAATAACCATTTTACACTTTTTCTCCTTTTTGCAGAAAAAACTGACTGTATGTAATAAATCGCAGTCAGTGCTCTTATGCTACTTGTACTCGAGTTAATCATTCAACAAAAACTTCTATGTTGAAAACTACTACGGTGTGCATTACGAGACCAAACTGCCTATTTTGTGCATTGTAAGCTGATTCCGCAACAAGGACGCTCCCTTTGTTCTTCTTTTGTTCTTTCCTTCTCTTTGATCGTTCTGACAAAATTTTAAAATGTTTAAAGACTTGTCTCTGGAATCCAGGAACATACAGACACAAAAGTGTGCTCCTATCCAGTGCACAGTTTGGCCTCGTAATGTGAATGGACTTTTAATCTTACACGAGAACTTGGTAGATAAACTTTTTGCAGTTAAAATAAGGATTTTTCAAATAAATTCAATAAGCTATGATGTCTCGTGAACCGTAAAACGCTATCCCTATGACGGGTTTATTTGTTTTGGAGAAATATTTTAGTACCATAAAAATATTCAAAAAAGGCAAACACTTGAAGAAATTATTTGTAAATTTGCTCGTTAAAATCATAGAATTGTTAATTCTGACCCGTGACTGTAGTAGTTGCGACATTAAAACATTTTTAAGACAAATCAAAATTAGTTCAAATTGACCAATTTGTCTTGTGCCTAAGAGTCTAGACCGAAGATCAGACTGGGGAAACAATTAACTCGGAATAAAGTATGCTTATTGATCTTTTAAAAGTATTGTTTTATTGTTTTTTTTTTATTCCAACAGTTTTCAATCAATTTCTGTTTCCATTTAGTACTTTTTCAGAAAAAGCTGAATTTTTTTTTAAATTACTCATGCCAAAGTCAAAACGGCTTTAATTTTCCAAGTTTAATCGTTTTGTAATACCTTTGTACATGTCAGATGTACTTTCTTGGATGAATTGAACGGTTTCCTACCATGTCTTTCATCCGTCTTCAAAATTCAAGTGTTAAAAGCGATGATTATCTGATTAGGTGTTTTTTCGGTTCTTCATCGTGAACGTGGGTCACGATTACCAGGTACATTTTTTGGTCAGCCTTACAAGCTGAAATTGCGAAATTAACAATTGAAAATGTAAGAAATCATACTGGAGATTTTTGATGATCTTATTATGCATCATTTTTTTTGCTTCAGTCTATTGTTGCATCCCAGCACCGACAAACTCGAGAAATAAATCAATTTCTATACAGGCGAATCGGAGTTTTGCACCACTTGCAATACAATACAAAAATAAAAAACAATAGTCGAAAAAAATTTAAGATATTTAGAAAAAAAAACAGTTGGACTAAAATTTTTGTAAGTCTCGATCAAAATCAACTACAGGACCAGCTAAGGCTGAAAGTACGTGTTTAATATTGAATAAGTTCGCTACATTGATGCGACACGAACAGTGTTATTTCAAAAACTGAACTTTGCCTAAAACACTAGTTTTTTCACTAGCAAAAAACGTGAGAAGAGTAAGAAATTTAGAGATAACCAATTTTCCCGAGGAGAAAACATTTCTCTTACAAAAATATAGACAGCATTTAGGTAATAAATTATAGCTTAAAATAGATTATAACAAAAACTCTCAAGTACAGGCAATAATATGAAAATTATAGGAGATTTAGTTTCTATCAATTGAGAAATTGTGTTAAATTATAAGAAACACAGATATTTTCAGCTTTTCATTGCTGTACATCAATTTTGGAGACAAAAATAATAGGATAATTGATCGTTTTTTCACTGAATTGGTTTTTAATTCAAACAATTAAAGTTCTTCTGAAAATAATATATGAGGCATAACTCAAAAATCTGCTTTCATATATATATAGATGAGATATAGATGAGTGCAAAATAGATAATTTTTGGACAGGTGCTGAGTCTAATTTGAAGGATGTGTACATACAATTTTTCAAAAATAAACCGATTGGGAAGATCTTTTGCAAAATACTAAAAGCAAAAAAGACACCGACAAAATTATCATAGTTTAACAATTGCTTTCGTTTCGGAACTACGTTTAAAAAAGTGACCTCAAGAAATAAAATTTTATTAAATCCCCTTCAACCTCAGAAAACTCAAAAAAAAAAAATTTAAATCGCAGGTCAAATGAAACAATATACAGCTACTGAGCGGATATAAAATAGGTCAAAACCTATCAAGCAGAAAAAAAGAACAACAAAAGAATGAAATTTTAGCAAATCAATTCGGTAAAACAACAAACAACGTTATCTATCCAACGTTATATAAAAATTTCGAATAGGACAGATACTTAAAATGCTAATATGCACATTACCAGTGCATAGTAGAATCTTATTAGCGGTAAAGTTATTGTTAAAAGAGGCTTCTCGGAAATGAGTCCAGGTGAAAAGATTCCTGTGAACACGGTTACTTATTGGAGAAAAAGTCTAGTCGAAGGCAATCGCAAGGGTAATCGCTTACTTATCGCAAGAGTAATCAATTTTAAATTAATTCAAATGTTTTTTTTGTCACTGCTACATTATCTGCACAAAATCTAGTGCCATCAAAGTCTTGCCAGCACGGTTCAGTTAACATCATTCCACTTTTCTTGCATCTACATTTTAAGTCACATTAAATTTTCATTCTTAAATACTTGAGATTGATTACCTTCGCTCAATTATTATCTTTAATTTATAGTGTAATCCAATATACCTACAGCATCCTAATCTGGGCATCAGTTCAAGCTCTGTCTGACATGCTTTATCCTGTTTCAGCAAATATGCAACGAACGAGGAAAATCAGAACATTGAATTGCCAAAACTTATCGTTTGAGTCACTTCAGCTCTAAATTATTTCAGAAAATCAAAATTGGTCTTTCAGAATCTAAGGCTGCTTACTCAAAAAACCAAACTTGACAAGGAGTCAGATTTTTCATTAGACGGAGAAAAATATTTTGAAAAAGCAAATATTGCAAAAGCTAAGATCGCCGGCAGCTTATTTCCTCCAGCTCTCAACCAATAAAATGTTTAGCATTTACAACTCAAAAGACTGAGACTAAAGCCGAGTTGAAAGTCGCTTATGAAGTCGAAACTGAAGTTTATCGTGCCCTTGAAAAAATAATTGACAGAATGATTGATCTGCATGGTTTGGCGACCATTCTCGGAAAAATCGATCTGATATAGAAGGCAAATGAAAAAAAAAATACCTGAATTATAGCGTGGCAGAACACGATTTAATTGTAATTGGCTGATAACATTTTCAGAATGGAAGTTGAAAAACTTTTTAAAAAAATTCGAGGTGAAACTAAATTAATGGCTGCCAATTTTTACTGCCCTATTTTGATGGTCAACGGGATTTAAACAACTTAGTGCGACAAACAAATGTTCCCATCTGTCGATGCCTGAAACAAAATGCGCACCATTTTTGAAGACTCGATTAACAATTTCCAAAAATGCACCACGGAAAAAAAAACTCACCCCTGGTCAAGGCGCATTCAAATGTTTTGACCATCCTGACCAAAATTCGGTATGTTTTAATCATCTCAATCAATTGTGTATATGTTTTGACAAACTTGAACGAATTGACTATGTTTCGACTTTCTCGACCAAAACAAAGTGCTCATTTTTGCTCGACGCAAGCAAGACTCGTTCCAACCGTCTACAGCGAATTCGGGTATAATTCAATTTTCAATTAACTTGACTTTTCCAAAATTAAAAGGTAGATTAAAGCCTGAAAGCACAAAATCTACCTTTTAATTTTAGATAATTAGCTTTTCGGGTAAAATATCAGGTTGATTTTATCAATCACAATGAAATTATTTTAGTCATTTCTAACTTAAATACAATGTAGTTCACGACACCGAAATTTTTCGAAACAACTATTTGAATTTTAAGTCATAACAAAAAGGGATCTAATTGGCTACCACAAATTCACCAACTCTTCGAGGTTGCTTTGAGACCACTCTTATAAAAGGGTTTAAAAGTTAACAAGACTGCTCGTATCAGGGCAAGGCCCTGAATGTTCCGACTGCCTTTTAAGGTTTATGGAGCAGTAATAACATTAAAAAATTCAATAAAATAAAACAAAATAAATTTTTTTTTCTAAAAGGTGAAATTTTTTTAATTAAAAATCATCTCCCCACACGCCATATAAAGTACAATAGGATAGATTTCGCTCCTTGTAACAAACCAATTATGGCAAATAAGCTTCTTTTAACCAATTTGGAACAATTTCTAAGACGGATAAACTCTCCGCTTACGCGTTAATAGCGCGAAATATATCGCGCGTTAATTGTCCCAAATTGGCCAAAATGGCAATCTTTAAACCCCCGTAACTTTACGAAAAATAATCACAGGTGGAATATCTTTTCAAATTTGAGCTCAAGACAACAATACCTTTCGAATGATATAAAAAAAATTTCGTCAAAAATGGCTAGTTAAAAAGTCGAAATTTGTCTGAAAAAAAAACCCACCCGGAGCACAAATATTCCGTTACTTTCGTATCGAAAGTCGGAACAATAAGATCAAAAATTAAGCCTTGCTCATTTAATCATTTCGGTCACATGATCAAAATTAAATTCATTGAAATGACATTCATAAAATTTGCCAACAAAAAACTCGACAAAATTGCACAAATCCTTCAAAAATTCAAATGCTTTCTTATTCAGTTAAGCTATTTTTCAACACATCAAAACATCACTAAAGCAAACAGGCGTCACTTTCAAATCCTTCAAATTCACCAAAACTGCTTCTTTAGTCTTGGAAAATGTCGGTACACACAATATCAATTGAGTTTCATTGTTCAAAAGTTTATACTGCAACTCGGAACAATTTCCCGCAAAATAAACTCTCGGCTGGGGATCGATTATAAAGGGGTCCTCTTTACTTTTTCCCAGCGGGTAACAGGGAAGGGTGTCTGGGGCAGTAGGACATGTAATCTGGCTTTTAAGGGTCATTTCCAGAGCAGCCAGTTCATCGGTGACTGTGCTGTATCTCCCAATGTCCTTGAGATTCTGGCCCGAACATCCCACAATGATGCTGTCGTCTATCTACAATCAAGTTTCACATAAAATCCTTCCACCATGTATTTCTACTTAAAACAACCAGAAACAAGGACTTACACTACTTCAAACAAGAAATGGGAAACTTATTGTTTTTGTTCATTTAGAGAAACATCAAGACTGCTCGTATATCAGGGCAAAGCCCTGAATGTTCCGACTGTCCCTTAATTCATATCGAATAGTTTTTGGTTGAAAAGAAAATGTTGAAAACCTATACAATTTGGACAACATCAAAATGTAAAATTTTCAGTCGTGCGAAATTAATACGACTAATTAGCTAGCCTCAATTCAATTTGAAACGATTATGTTGTGCCGGATAACTCGCCATGCATAAGTAATTCGCGTTACGCTTTCAGCATTATGATTAAACTCTTCAAAGTGCGCGTAATTTAGTCCAGAATAGGGCCAAGTTGGCAATTGTCAAACCCCCAGAACTTTTAAAAAAATAATGGGAGGTAAACAAATCTTTTTAAACTTGAACTCAGGAAGTCGATATCTTCAATGGGGTATCAAAAATTTTAATAGAAAACTAATATTTCGATCGGCGAAAATTGACTGAATAAAAAACCACACTGATCATAAATATTCCGTTTCCTTCAAAAGACGGAACAAAAATCCTATTTAAACCCTGCTTCTTTTTCTGACTATCAAAACTGTATGGACGCTCCAGCGCAATGAAAATGAGACTAAGTTAGTTCTGTATTGGAAATTAGCCAAAGCAGCTTCACACATCTCCACCGTCAGTACACAGGCCAGAATTGGGGCATGGCTAGGAGCAGATTTAAGGGAGCGCGTAAAAACTCGAATACCCACCTAAGAATTTGACTCCATTGCTGCCCTTTTATACAATTGTATGACACCCAATTTTGTTCGATCAACTGTAAAATTCTTCTAAAGGCGCAAAGATGAACCAAATTTGGGAAACTTTTGATACTTTCATGGGAGTAATATTACTATATTTTTGAAAATTCATAATATCTGCTATCATGAGAGTGGCAAACGTTCTATAACCCTGAAGAAAATTCATTTTTTTGGTAGCCAACTTTACAATGTTGTTGATATCTGTTAGTGCCAATTTGATCGAACAAAAAAACTCAGATTCTTCTGAAGCTCCAATCCCTGTTGAACTCCAAAAACTTTAGATCCACTTCTGACCATTCAAGTGCTTTATCATGGTCAGACTTTTAGTGGGCATTCTTGAAGCCCTTCGTCTGTGCTCTGTAAGTTTGTAGTAAGTTCAATAATTCAATTTCATTTTTATTCATTTGTTGAACTATACTGAAGCATAATTGTTTTTCTTTTGCAAATATAGAGCATAAAACTCATATAATTAAGCCCTTCTAAAATCACTATCGCATGATATGAGCGAGCCTTCTTTTTTGATAAGTTACCTTGCAATGGTATGGGTTAGTGACAGTTGCGAATGTGGAGTAGACTCTGGACTTGGGGAACATGCACCTGTTCATGGGCTGCTGGGGGAGGAATGCAGTGCAGGGGTCTGTCTCTCCAGCCATTACGTCCACATTACACGAAGAGCACATCTGAAACAGAGCCAACAGACTGTTAGGAAAAGGGTCAATTAACTCATTGGGACACGAAAAAATATATATATTTTTCGAGAAAAAAGAAAGTGTCAATGAACTTATGAAACCGGAAAAAAAATTCGAAACAAAAAACAAATTTCGAGATAGCAAATCACGTTAGCTTACATCTCTTCGAATTTCAAGACTCTTTCATCACTGACACTTTTTTGATAAAACTAGCCTCACGCAAATCTTGATCAATAGGTAATATTTTTTACGGTTGGAAACCCAAATTTGAATATTAAAGTCCAGCTCCATTCTTAATGTCGATGGTCTTTTGTTATTAGAGAAGGTTATCACAGAATATGTTTTCGATGTAGTAGTAAAATTAGCTGAAAAGGTTTTTATATGATTCATCAATTGATCCCAGCGCCAGCAAGCTTTCTTTGATGCACTCAAATTTGGGTGGAACACCCCACCCTAGGCCATACGAGCAGTCGGAAAAGTATTGTGAATGCAATCATGAATGTACCAGAAGCCAAATAGCAAGAAGCTTCAGCAGGAAGAGAAATTGATCCCCATCGTCAATACTTGTTTTATTCGAAAAAAAATTGAAACTTCGTAGATTAAAAATAATTAAGAACTTTAAATCACGAGGGAAGGGATTTATATGGGAGCTGATTGGCTCTTTACGGAGAACCGCTGTTGGTCAAAAATTTATTCCATTTTTGTTTACTTTCATGTTCGATAGATATTATTGCCTCGCCATCAAGCAACCAGCATGGATAAGTGGGTCCAACCATTCTAAACGACCAACACTATTCAGACGAAAGCGCTGCTCATCAACCGCAACAACGGTTAGTCCAGAGCGACTGGATTTTAGAATAAGAGGCCCAAATTTAGCCACATCACTCTGGCTCTCCTATTTGGATCAGTAATACAGTGTGAGTACCTGTTGCAGAGTGCAGTCCAGAGTCTGGAGAGGGAGCACTGAGCTGAGTGTTGACTTCTTAGACAGATAGAGTGCCTGTGTATGGAGTTCCTTGTCTACGCATTTGCTGTCGATGCTGTTTCCACAAACAATCACCCTGGAACAATAATAAAAAGTATTTAATCTGTAAATTAATAATAAATAAAGACACAGAGGGGAAGCTGCGCTTCACAAATATTAGAGAGAACACGACAAAAAGCAGCTCTATAAAGTGCGAAAGGAAAAATATAAGTAAACCTCGAATTAGTAAAAATTCTGCTACGTAACGGATTCGAACCTAAGGCCTACTGCAACCAAGAGATTATGAGTCACACGCACTAACCACAGACGTTCAATTTATGACAACAAAAAAGAAGGTTCGTACTAATACAGTAACGCTCGCAATCTCGCTAGTTTAAATAAATAAATAGAAAATCAGGCTCTTTTCGACTTTCCCACACATTTCAATTTTCCATTTTCATAGTCATTCACGTGCTATAACAGATGAATGCGTGATATTGCGATTTAAAGAATGGCGATCAAATCTGTTCACAATTTTTGGTTTTTTCACTATGCAAAAATCCATTGCATAATGGAAACGTTAAATTAGTTTTTTATACTTGAAATTCAAATGTGAGGGGGGGGGGGGGAGGAAAAGAGCCGAAAATAAATAAATAGTAAAAAAATAACAAGAATAGCCGGTTGCTATGCAAAATTCTTATGGCCAAGAAGAAAGCGCTTCGTGAAGCTTCCAAAAGTGGTTTTCTTTTCAGGAAAATCAAATTTTTTTAGCCTAAAAGGCTTATATTTGGTACTACTATGATAGATTGGTCCCACGAAAAAGCAACTATAGTAGACACGTCCCGCACTATTTTCAGATTGAAACTTTGAAACATTAACGGAAACGTTCTCACGGTCCCTTACAATACTCAGCTGTCTAACTAAGGCAGTTTTGACAGTTTTACCCAGGTTGAAAAAACCAAACGCAACTTTTGGAAAAAGCTCAATACTCTTTAAATTATGACAAATCGATCTATTTTTTTATAAAAAAGCAATCGAAGAAGTACACCAGCATGCACCCTTTGTATTCGAAAAATGACGGTAGATCAACATGTGCCCACACTAATGCAACAGAATGTAAGTAAAAATGGGAAGCGAAAACTTAAATTAATGCTGTGTGTTCGTACATCGATGATTACACGAGTTTCTTTGGCGCCACAATTATGGGAAAACTCATATGGGACTCATTTGAAAATATATTGAGACACATTGCTAATTGTGATTCTACTAAATAATTCAAAGTTTCAAAGTGCGTACGACATATTTCTTAAGGAACCTGGCCGATTTGTAGGGACCACTCTATCATAGTAGAACTCGATATTTATACATAATGAACATTACATAATCACTTTACTCGCTCGAGATCGGACTAAATTTCAAACCGTTTTTTCTCACCACTGGGGAAAATTTTTGGAATATTTTAAATGTCGTTCGAATCACGACTTAAAAGGCTTTAATATGACAAACCACTCGTCGTACCATTTAGATGATTTTTTGTGGTAGCTAATTTTGCGTCGAAAACAAAAAAAACTAAAACCCACCCGAAAACAAAGTTCCTCCACATATTTGAAATAGTCGGAACAATAAAAGTATATAAAAACAAAGAAAAAAGTAATCGCATTTGTTTAGAAATTTATCACTCTGCAAAATTTAAGCAATATCACAAAAATAACGTACTTACGCATCTTGTAAATTTAGACAATATAAACAAAAAAAATGATTCACAAATTGATTAAGTTTTTTCAAAATTGGTATAGTTACCTGACAATTTTAGATGATATCTCACTCATTGGACCACAGTCACCAGATACGAAAGAAGCCAGCATATCCAGCAAAACACTTTCATAGTCCCCACCAACATTCAGTCCAGATACGAACATCACAAACGAGTCCCCCTCGTCCCCCGATTTCTCGCTATCCATGGCCGGCGAGTTCGAAATTAATTCACTGTTGTGTGGGTAGAATATTTCATCCACTTGGAATTCGCCATCTGAGTTTTCTTTTCCAATAGCTCCAACGACCATTCCTATGAATAATGAAACTGAAAGTCAACGAATTCAATGAAAAAAAAAATAGTGGATTTTTGAAATGAAGAGCTAACTAACCATTGCACAAATCTAATAGCCAAACATTTAGTTCTTTCCTTTTTAAATGTTTGTGACAAAATTAAGTGAACTAGGTTTGTTGTGGCAAAAAAAAATGAAAAAACCATAACTAATTGAAATAGGGAAATTCTTAAGATCAAGAAACGAAAAATCAGATTCGCAAATAAGTTCTTATATCTTCATCAATGTTTTAACTATTGAGATAAACTTTCTAGGTTTTTTTTCGCAAATTATGTAATAATTAAGAATATTGACCAACAACTTTTGTTTATTAATTATGCAATATTTCCGCCAAGATTTTTTGATGAACAATTTTCTATTTCAAATGTTTGGCTATTGTAGCATAAATTGTAAATGGAGTAAGGATATTGACTTTGGGTGTCTATGTTTCCTGTGAGAGCGAGTGACTGTGTGTCGTCCTCTATGAATATCTGGTCCGATTTGTCCACAAAAGTGTCTCTGATCACAGGAGGCTCCAAATTGTGCTCTTCACTCACTTCCTAGGAAGCAAATTAACAATAATCATTTTTTGACCAAGTCAGAAACTCAACACCAAACTTTTTATGATGAAATTGTACGTTTACAATTTAGATCGGGAAAATACCAAAAAGGCATCAGTCTGTCGGGTAGCATCTCCATAATAAGATCTGCCCGTCAGAAAAATTTATAACGCATTTCTCAAACCGATAGAAAACTGTTCTGAAGTTATAGCAACTCAGACTCAAATTATCGCTAACTGAATTAAAAGTGTTGTTTTTAACCTCCTGACTTGACAAGGTATCTTTTGACCTAAATTACGCTGAAATTACGTATTTCTTTAGTTTTTAAAATTGAAATAGTTCAATTAAATGGAATCAATACTTGACCATCTTAGTTAATTTTTGTTTCAATATAAACTCTTTCGTTCCCTAGAAGGTAAATTTCGGTCCGATAAAAGCTAAATTTTATAAATCATCAACATTCAGAGCAAAAAACCATTCAATTTACGAGACGTTTTTTTTCCGGGAGCTATCGTCTATTAAGGGTTTTCATAGCAGTTAAGATCAAGTTTCCGGTTCAAATTGGATTTTCATTGCAACCACCAGCGGATTTAGTACTATTTTTAGTACTTGGTACAATTTCAAATCTCCAATTTTGACCGACGGGTACAAAATTTTTTCTTAAGGCGCCTTGGGCGCCAATATATACTAAATTTGAGGGGGAAGCGCGCGCCGAAAACGTGCATTTTTGGTCAAATTTTTCAAAAAGCATTTTTTGGCCTGTTTTTTTTCGAATTTTTGCCTACAGCGCAGAAACTTTGGTCAAAATAGGGTCTTTGTAGTGATTTTTGAGAGCTCGGAAAATCAATTTGGTCAACCTAAAAAAAGGTCGATTAAAGTTCGATTTTTTTGGAAATCTGCCCCTCCCCCTCAAGAAAATCCTAGATCCGCCCATGAAGTTTTTCTTAAGCATTGGCCATAAGACTCAGAAGTCAACAAACAGGATAATTCATGGGCCAATTGATACAATCAAGATGAAAAATTACCGAACACACATTGTCTCTGACACTTATTCTGCATTCCTATAACTAGTGAAGAACAGCATAAGGCTCAAACTTCGTCCACTACCTTTCAAAGCCATTGAAGCTAATAAATAAATCAAAAATTACTCCGCAGCTGTTGGTATTTTCTAGCACTAAAAACTTACAAAGCACAAAATAATTTTGTTGAAAAGCACAAAATAATAAACGAGCCCTTTTTGCTCAAATAATGTAGACGTTGACCGAAAAGCAGAGTTCATGAGTCAAAACCTAAACGTTTTCAAGTCCGAAAAACTTTTCAGGTATTTGTAGTCTCAGGAAAAGCAGAAATATTGACAGCAATTGGGCTTTAATTACTAACACAGGTAAAGTATACCTTAAGAATACTGGGTTTGAGTGTCTGCCGTTTCTGGAGAGTGCCAATGACTGCGTACTTCCTGTCGGGTCTGATGGCACTGATTGACACCAGAGGGACCCTCGGGACATTTCCATCAGCCCCACCCTCGTGCTGCTTCGAGGGGGACCCTCTGCTGGTCGAGGATAGTGACGAGGAATTGAGCAGGTTCTCGCTGATTCGGTGTCTACATAAAGTAAAGATAGCTAATTTACAGAGCGTATCAAGCAGACAATTCAAAACAAAATCTAGCTTACATGGACTCACTTTGGGCCTCAAAATAACTTAATTAGTTGAGAATTCATTGAATATTTCAATACAAAAGATGCATTAAAGTGATAGTCAAGTTTACTGATGATCAACATTTTTTATAAATATTGAATATCGGCTATCTTCTGATACTCAATTCAGAAATTTAGAACAAAAATTAACCAAATCATATTCTCCCAAAACAAAAATAGCATCACAAACAACCAATTTCATTTAGTCCTCAAAAGAAAAATGCAAAATAAATTTTAAAAAATTGACCAAATCTTATTTTTCAAAACAAAAATAGCATCACTAACATCCAATTTCATTAAGTCCTCAAAAAAAACAAATTTAAAAAAAATTGACCAAACTTTTTTTCGAAACAAAAATAGCATCACAAACATCCAATTTCATTTAGTCCTCAAAAAAAAGAAATGCAAAATAAATTTTGAAAAATTGACCAAATCTTATTTTTCAAAACAAAAATGGCATCACTAACATCCAATTTCATTAAGTCCTCAAAAAAAAGCAAATTTAAAAAAATTGACCAAACTTTTTTTTCGAAACAAAAATAGCATCACAAACATCCAATTTCATTTAGTCCTCAAAAAAAAAGAAATGCAAAATAAATTTTGAAAAATTGACCAAATTTTATTTTTCAAAACAAAAATAGCATCACTAACATCCAATTTCATTAAGTCCTCAAAAAAAAAAAACAAATTTAAAAAAATTGACCAAACTTTTTTTCGAAACAAAAATAGCATCACAAACATCCAATTTCATTTAGTCCTCAAAAAAAAGAAATGCAAAATAAATTTTGAAAAATTGACCAAATTTTATTTTTCAAAACAAAAATAGCATCACTAACATCCAATTTCATTAAGTCCTCAAAACTAAACAAATTTAAAAAAATTGACCAAACTTTTTTTCGGAACAAAAAAAGCATCACAAAACAACCAATTTCAATTATTCCTCAAAAAGAAACAAAAAATATACTCACTGCATTGCTTTGTTTACTTTGGGTCTGAGAGAGTTCAACCTGGTGGCATAGATGTGCACATATTGCAAATTAGGCTGGTACGACTTCACCAGCAGTTTTTCTCGCCCTATGAACTCGTATTTTGCCTCTTTTCTCACCACTGGCCTGTCTTCAGTTTCGTTAACTTCCATACTTTTGGCATCAGTAGCAACCACCATTTTGGAAATCTGAAGTTTTCAAGAAAAATTTACGGCACTTTTCCGTAATCACCTGTATCTAACTCGATCACAAAAGCTTTCTCTGAGCAGACCTTATTACAAACGAGTGAGTTCAGAATGAAGAAAGTAGTCGATAAAAATGTTTTTGACTATCTCAGTATCTACACAGGGCTAAAGCTAAGCTTCTGTAATTTTGGTATGCAAAAAACGCTTTTACATTATGATTTTTGCGATTTGCAGAGAATCTATGAGAAAACATCCAGCCTGTCTAAGCATATTCCACTTCTCTTAATTCCCCACACTCAAATGGAGTTATTATGTCGAGCAAAGCTCTTTGTTAGCGACTCAAGTTCGTTTTTTTTGTGTCTAGAACTTTCACGTGGCACCACTATTGCAGCTTATATAGGTCAAGCAGTGGTAGACCTGAAGCTAGAGGTCAAGTGAGAGCTAGTCCTCACACACTATCATTGCCATGGCAGGGAATCGATTATAAGACCTGTCGATCACAAAGTGAACAGATTGCCACTATGCTATGCGCCTCTGATGAAAAAAAATCAAATTTTCGAAAATCTGATTCAACTTCAATTCGGAAAGGTTGAAACCTACAACTAAAAACCTTTCAGGTGGTGCAAAAATCCGTCACAAAACGTTTGTTAAGAAGTAAAAGTTCGCCAAAAACCAAGCGATAAAAATCTTGATACTAACCTGAATGTAGGCACACGAAATTGTTAGTTTCTGATCATTAGCTGTAAAACCCACGACTTAAACAAGATAGTTGGCACTAAAAACAAAACTTGAAACAGATCCGATGAAAGTTGATACGAAAACCACAAATCTAAAAAGAGTCAATGAATGCAAGTAAACAGAAAAAAGGGATTTATTTGAAAAAAAATCTCACCTTTTAAATTTCAAGGGAAAAACCATATGGCCTTAATTCTCTTTCAATTTCTGAAACAATTTCTGATTGACCCTTTTGTGATAAAACTAACTCAATTTAAGAAAACTGGACCAATAGGTAAAACTTTTATTTCGCTGGGAAATCTGATAATTAATTTTCACTTTCGAAACTAGAAGTCGATCAAGTTTTTCTTGACTTTTACACTTTCGCTGTTCAATGTTGGAGTTTGCCTTCCTTTTAGCAAGGGAAATGAACCGAAATTAAAAAATCAAAAGTCAAACAGCGAAAAAGTATATTTCTCTCGATAACATGGCAAGTAAATCATAATCATATGAACCACGTACTCTAATTTGAAAATACCGCGCTCTAACTGATAATACAGCTGAAAAAGGTAACAGTCAGACATGGAAAAATTTAAATTAAAAAACAAGAACTTTGTTCCTTCTAATAAAAAACATAATTAGAGGGCTCTGTGTAACCGTAAGTATAACTTTACCGACGCTTTTTTCATCTGTTTCCTTAAATAACTTCCTTTTAAAAAAAATTAGATGGATCTGTGTAGGTGTAATTATAATTTCAACTTGAAATCATTTGCGTTATAAAACAAAAAACTGAAAGACTACAACAGAGGTGGTAAATTCACAACCAATACAAATATCAAATTTCGAAAAGAAAGGATATTTAAAAATCAGACATGCTCAAAATAAGTCAGTTGTTGACGAAAAAACAAAACTATTGTGTTAAACAGATCTTTCAAGTTATTGTTTAAACCAACTTGTCATGAAAAAGTATATGTTCTGATTCGATAACGCTTGCTAATTGCAAGCGCAAATAGTAGAGAGAGCGACAACTTTGGAAAACCCATCCGTTTTTTTTTCAGTCTTTTAATTTCAGTCTTTTTCTTAAAATTTATAGTCTAAGAAAAGGCAACTCCAATTATATCCGGGATAGCACAAATGAAGGTTTTGTCATCTAAATTTGATTGAAAAGTATTCATAGGGTTTTGTTATAATTTAAGTATCTTTGTAACAAAGATATTTTAAGAAAAATTAGAAAAATTGCAGAAAAAAACGCTATATGTTAAAAAAATCTGTATATCATGGTGTTGCGCTTTTTTATGCTCTTTCTGCTCGTGCATATTTCAAAAAAGAACTACAGCTAGAAAAAAGGTGTACTTTCAATAGCCCCCGCCCCACCCCTCAAGTCTGGTCGCTGAACTAATCCAAAGGACCTATAAAGTACAGATCAAAAAAGTTCGATTGGAAAACATAGTCAGACGAATTAGACACTCTTTGAGTCACCCACACAGGCAAAATTTTGCTTCCCAAACACTAGCCAGAACACGACAAAAAGCAGCTCTATAGAAAGCCATAAGAAAAAGTAGAAATAAGCCGCGAATTACAAAAAGTAGAAATAAGCCTCGAATTAGCGAAAATTCGGCTTCGTCTGAGAATCCAACCGGCAACCTAGAGATTAAGCGTCTAACGAACTAACCAATCAGCCACGGAATCTTCATGCAACTTCCATTGCTACACTTAAATTTCAAAATAAGTGAATACTTTTAATGAACATTTTATGAACACTTAACTATAGTTCCCCAACCAAAAATGTCTCGTCACCTATCCCGTGAAACGTTAGTTTATTAGGTGCTAGATTTCTCATTAAAAAAAAATCTAAGCAAAAAAAATTGTCATTAAAATACAAGAAGCTATGGAGATTGTACGATGTCTGTACCATGTCGCAAAGGACCGGCCTATTACCATGTGTGTCGATTAGCATGTCCATATAAAAGAAGGTAGTTGGGAGATTCGCTATTTCACATTTTGCTTACTTCTACTTGTAATTTTGAACAGCGTGCATTTCGCCGATTGTATAATTACGCGAAATTGAAATTTTAACTTTCCTGTTCAGTTATTTTCGAGTTTTTGACATTTTTGAAATTTTAGGCTTATTTGTTTTGTGTCTGAAAGCACACCCGTTGAAGCAATTACCGCATGCTAATGGTCACACATGCTAATCGCTGCGCCTCCTGATGTCACGTGTACATGACCACAGTACTGGCACAAAGAAGCAATGGTAGTTCGGTACCCCATACTTCGCTACATATTGACGCGAGGGTTTTTCTTGGTTCCCCTGAAAATAAAAATGCCTCCTATTACGGGTATATGCATTTATGGGAGTTTCTCACATTACAATTTTTTCTCGGTTCTCTGGACTAATCAAAAATTGCCCGCCAGAACCAGGCACGAAATATTTACACGGTTCTCCGCATCAAGAGCTGCTCTCCCGAGCAAAAAATTACTCAGGGCTGAAACAAAAGGCTTTCTCGCTTTTAGCAAGACCTGGGATCACCACATTCACTGTTTCACGGACGTCAGGACATTTGAATCGATCATCAAAAAGGTCAATTATGTGGTACCTAAAATCAACGAACAAAAACAAGAAATGAGGCTGCAGTTGAGACTACACGAAGGCGCGGCAACATAAACGATAAAATTTAAAACATACCAACTTGTTGTGATAGATTGTATTATTCGAAAAAGCTAAATTGGTGTAAGTCATCGATACGAGCAATCAAATGAGTATTTCGAGCTAATTTGCCAGCCTCGATTTCTTTACCGAAAAATAAACTATTTTCGATCAAGGTATTAGAATGAGGAAAATAGGGAATGATGTAACTTGTTTTGATATCTATAATTAGTCGGAAAACCTTTGTGCGCCTTATCTTATTATCAAAGTAACTATAGTTTCAAACAGTTTGCAAACAAGAGTTTTTCAACTTAATATAAATAAGATAACAATAAGAGAATAAATTTTTCTACTTATTTTCAGCATATTTTTTGCGGCTACACAGCGGCAAAACTGCATATCGCAAACACGAACAAAACTGCAAAGGGAGATTAAAAATGCAAGAAATTTTATAACTCTGAAAGAAAATAAGCTGCGCAAAATCAGCCGACAACAGGATTCGAACCACGTTCTTACCAAATAAGTATTATGCACTTCCTGACTGCAGCTTCCACCTTGCTGTCTTTAGTACATAAATTTCGTCTTAAGTACATGTCAGGCAACGATTAATGCTAATAAAGCGGATAAAACATGAACTCCTAATTGCGGTATCAGACTGACTTGACACTTGGCACAAAAACGCGCGAAGTTGAAACATAAGCTTGCCAAAAAATTCAATGATCCTGGTTAACGGTAAAATGTTGCGTCCAGAGAGACTTGTGATTTTCATTCATTTCATCAGAAAATTTCAACTTACCAAACTGACACGGCTTAAAGTCCATCGGTGATATATTAAATTGGGTGGTAATTTTGAATATAGTGCATGTATTAAATTTGAGAACTATAATGACCACGAAAAACCAGGGGCCTAAAAGACTGGGTAGCCCAGTCAAACATTCGGTTAAGTACATTAGTGCGGACGAAGAAGCAGACATAAATGAAAGGGCTCTGGAGCAGTATAGATACGGTCTGGCGAATGTAAAGACGGACAAGAAAAAGCCGATGGAAACCCGATGAAGCTTCTAGAACGCCACTTATTTCGAAAAAAATTTGGATATGCCGCACTGGACACGACACAGCCGTGGAGCACACAGTGGAAAGTGCCTCTGGAGATTAAGAAACACTCAAAATACGAATAAGGAAAATGGAAAAACTTAAAGTAAAAACTAAACACCTTCATCATCAATGGGATCACAAAACTGAGCTGAAAAACTGGTAGTATTGTTATTTATTTATAAAATTTTATATACATTAGATAAAATTCTATTGGTCCTTGGGGGGATGTGGTACTGCGGCGTCAGCAGTAAGTAACCTTGAGGACAGTTTGTTAGCTACTGCATCTGCAGTAACCATATGTGCTAATTATATTTATTATGCTATTATTATGTAAGCGTGGTCAAGGCTATTTGGTGATGCTAAAATCCTATAGATGAATTGGTCAGTGTTTTCATATATCAAGCTATTGAACAGTAATCAATCTCAGCTACGAAACCTTGGTAACCAGAATCAAGAACATTAAATTAACAGTACCTATCTTTACTTTTATTCTATAACACGCTACGCAGTTTGGGAATATCATATGGCGCAGCCAGCAGGATT